GACGTCGGACTTCTACCCGACGTCGGACCTTCACTCTTCGCCAAGTTTCTACCCGATGCCGGACTTCTACCAATTATAGGACTTTCACTGGAGGTATATCCGAAGATGGATTTCTTTCCATTGTTGGACTTCTACCTGAAGCCGTCCTTCTGACCTTCATCGTCAGACACAGTCCTTCCACCCTCCATCGCAAGGCAACTATCCTTCTGATCTCCGACGCCAGCTAACTACGGTCCTCCTAACTTACGTCGGCCGCCAACTACAGTCTTTCCAACCTCTGTCGCCTGCCGACTACGGTCCTCCTTACTTACGTCGCTCGCCGACTACATCCTTCCGACCTCCGTCGCCAGTCGACTACGGTCCTCCTGACTTACGTCGCCCACCGACTACAAGCCTTCCGACCTCCGTCGCCCGCCGACTACGGTCCTTCCGACCAAACGAACATGTCAACAATGACTCTTTGTATTAACATCATGTAATGTGCTCCATAAGATGTACATCAAGCTAAGGCCTTCCCCCAAGGAAGGACCTCAATTGTAATCAACTACAATACTAGTGGATTCGTTCAAATTGGGCTAGGCCCCGTGGTTTTTTTCCCCCATTTCAGGGGCTTTCCATGTAAAAACATTGGTGTTTAATGTGAATGCTACACACTCTCTCTTATCTGATTGCGTGCCAGATTTTCGTTCAATGCCAAGACGTTAATTTTATATTTCTCTACCTCCGCGAATACTCCTGGACATAACAAGGATGATCCTGAGTTCAATTCTAAATTTTTTATTCAAATATTACCTCGTTTTTTAGTATCTCTATTATTGCAAAATTATTGAACTGTTGACTTGCTTCTTTTTTTTTTCTTTTTCTTAATTTTCTTTTCACATAATTTTTCCTCCCCCTTGTTAACGAATATTTGATTTTTCACATTTTTTTTTCATATTCAAATATCTGATATTTACTTTAAGGATCAAATATAATAGCAATAATCAAACAATTAACATTTACTATACGCTCAGCATTTGGGAGCATCAAATTTGCAGTTTTCATTTATATGGCTCTGAATTAACTGCTAATTAGTGTTTTATTGCCAAAAAAATCACAAAATAATATCAGAATGTATTTATATATTTAAATTCCATCTCAACTTACTTCAATGTAGTTTGGAATAATATTTTAATGTTTTGTAAAATAACTTTTTGGTAATAAAAAATTTTTATACTAAAAAATTGCTTTAGAAAGCAACAAGAAACTCATCCCAAATGAAGCCTTAATATGAATTAGGGGTGTCAATTCAGGTCAACGGGTTGGGTTCGGGTCGAATCCGGAACTGACATGGCGTTATATGACACGACCCGTTTTTTGCAAATGGGTTAGAAAATGCAACCTGGACCCGACCCGCCGGGTTGTTGGGTTGACACAACCCGACACGAAATCCGACGAGACGGATGGCTGGCAGGTCGAGACGCTGGCTTGTGGGGCCAATCCGAGACGGACGGTGGACGGTGGCCAGGTTGAGGCGTTGCCTAGTGCGACAGGCCAAGGCGCTGGCACTGTGTTGCCTCATGTGACTAATCCCACATGCCACTTGGTCCACCGTGGACTTGAAGGCCGCCATGTTGAGGCACCCGGTGGGTTGGGGCTGTTGGGTGCTTTGTGGAGTGGGCCCTTGCTAGGCTTGACCGATTGACCTCGTGAGAGTTGAGTCAGACTCAGTCGCGTGATGTGGAACTGCGCAGCGGCACAATGCAAGCTTTCGGACCCGAACCTGGGTCAACTTCGGGTTGATTTCGGGTTTCCAGGTCAACTCGACCAAACCTGTTTTTTCAAACAGGTCAAAAATCTGAACCCAAATCCGACCCGTTTTATAAACAGGTTGTACCGAACTGAAATCAAGGTTCGAGTTTCAAGTCGTGTCAAATTTTGACACATCTAATATGAATTAAGGCCTCTTTGAGTCAGCTTTGTTGTTGCTTTACTTTTCATACAACAATCATAATTTTATTTTGCTACTAATTTTTTTGCTATATTCTTGCTATTTTTTCAAAAAAATTCTCTCAAAAAAAATTATTTTTTACAACTAAAATAATTAAATCATTTTTCTCATATCAACTTTAAAATCAACTTTATCATCTCAAAGAAATGGACAATACAGTGTTTTGAATGTATCAATGATATAATTTATGACAAAAGTACAAATAATGTATTATTGATAGTTAGCTTCCATCATTTAATACCTCACGCATATCCTGTGAACATCACATTCTCATTCTCTCTCACTGCTGAGCTGCATCATTCAATCAATAAAGGATGGTAACGGCCAAAATTATATTATTAAAGGGGATATTTGATCATTTATTTTAAATTTTTATTAAATTACTACTCCCCAAATTTTATTTATTAAATTCTTAATTATACATTAAATTTCACAATAATAATTTAGGTTTCATTTGAAGTAATTTTTTTACTATTTTTCAAAATAATTTTTTTAATTAATTTTTTTTTTATAATTAAAAATTATTTTAGAAAAAAAATATCTCAAATAAAATCTTTATATATATTTCATTAATTTAATCGGCAATTGAAATTTATAAAACTGAGAAGTGGAGGATTTTCACACAGATCATTGAATTTTTAGATATTTATAATATTTTTGGATTTTTTAAAAATATAATTGTAAGTTCATACAAATCGCATATTTATTATATTTATTTATTTAATATCTTAATGGCCACTGTTTCCCGCGCAGCAAACAAGAACAGGAGCTCGCTGTTTATTTATTTAATTCGTGAATGGCAGATAAAACAGAAGAATCCTCCATTTCGCCGGACAAAGGCCATTTTAGGAAATCTGAAACGGAAAGCGCCATCGAAGTTGGCATGAAAGTGTCCGACTTCCTCCGACTCGCCGACGACGACTATTATGACACGGTGAGGAAAAGTCGTCGGAGAAAAAGGAGCAATCTTGGCGGACCTTCGCCGCAATCTGAGTCCCAAGGCTTTCGTTCCCTCCTCTTACAATGGCTTCAAAATCCAAAGCTTTCCGCCGGCGACGAAGGTGATGGAGCAGGGAAGGGGACTAAGCTAGGCCGCCGGATTTCGTTTCCAAGATCTTGCTGCTTGGAGGATGAGAAAGTGAAGGAGAAGGAAGAGAGGGATGACGTGGGGGCTGCCATGAAGGATTCTTTGGGAGGACATGGAGGTGATGTTTGTCATTTGATTATTTCTTTGCTGCTCTGCTTAATTAAAGTTGGATTTTTAGGGTTTGGGCTCTCTTTTGTAGTTCATTTTGGAGGGCTGTTGGTTCCAAGAATTTTAGTATAATCGAAGTTTGGAAACGTTAGTAAATCATGGGAGTGTTATTACTGAGAACTTTTTGGTTGAATTTTGCCTTAATCTAACCTTAATCATGTATAAATCTTCATAGGAAATATCCCCTTAGGATTTTTGTTGCTTTGCTGAACTGACTTCTTCTTCTTCCTATGCAATGACTTTCTGTTTAACAATATCTTGTTTGTTGAATAGAGGTGATAAATTTCTTTACCTTATCCTCATTTATGTAATTCCTTTGTTTAGACAAGCAATTTAACAATTTTGTTTCAGTTTTTGAGCTTCCTTAGAACCTGTTTCATATAAAGATTGTTATGTTATGCACAAGCTAACCGGGGAAGAAGAAGAAGAATTAAAAAAGGGTAATGCTTGTGGATAATCACTAATGCTTTGTTTGAGACAGCTTCTTTATTGCTTTCGAAAACGACTTTTTAGTACAAAATCTTCTAATTCAAAAAAATTTTGTACTAAATTTTTTTTAGAAAGCAACAAAAAAGTTGTCCAAACGAAACCTATGTTTCATACATTACTCGTGATTATCATTGTGATCCACCGAGTGTCAGTGAATCATTGCCAAGCCAGCCTTTATATCCATAGCTTCTTAAAAGAAGAAGTGGGGCAACTTTTGATCATAAGAAAATTCAATTTAGTAACACTAGAAGGGCTTAATTTGGCCTCTCTTTATAAAGATTATATTTAAGGCATTTGAAAATATAATAAAAAGCTCTAAATGCTGTTAATAAAATTTCTCTCAACTATTGGATACTTTTAGGAGCTCTATGCCCTATTCTAACCCTACGATAACCTTATCGCCGTGGCTGAGCCATTACCAAGTATGGATAGCATGTTTTATTCTTTGAGTAAAAATTTGGCTCTATAAATTAACAATGACTACTTATAAATAAAATAGAAAAAATTAGATAGGTTAGTAATAAAATATATTTAAAAAAAAAAGAAGATTTTTCAGTGTTTTCCTCCATTCAGCATCTTTTGGCTTTTCTGATATCCTATTGACTTTTTGAACCATCTTATTTATTGACTCCATAAATTTAACATGGCAACAGACTAAGATGCTAGAATCATTAGTTTATGTTACCAAATTAATTGAGTTCATATTAACTAAGGCGAAAGTCTTTGTTGTGATGTGAAGCTTTGGGTTTAGTTCCATCTTGAGTGGTTGAAAAATATGGCGGTATAAAAATATCAAGTGGATTGCTCTAATTTATATGCATAAGCTTTTGGGTTTAAAATGGATTTATAACTGCCGTCTCTAGCCCAATTTTACCTCACTCTCTAACAATTGGCATTAGAACTTATGGTTCAACTAAGAAGCACTTCATGCAAGTTGTAGTTCTCCATAGATCTTGTCCCTTGGATCCATCATAGCCGAGCAACATTCAAGAGTGAGTTACTTCTACAACGAATCCATCTAATTGGATGGGCTCTTGATGCAATATACTTAATGTTGTTTCTGTATGAGTGGGTGTGATGATCAATGTCTCAAGCTCTCACATGCGGGAGAGATTGTCAAAAAACATATCGGTGTTGCAATACTATCTGGTTAAACCTCATCTATAAGCTCAAGTTTTTTGGTTTAAAAATATTTTTTTGGTTGATTCATATGGTGCAACTTTAAGCCTTCTTTGTTTCAACTAAAAATGTATACTTGTCGGAAGCACTATAGTGAATTTTAAACTGCGTTGTGTTTTCTTTTTAATTTATGTTAAAAGTGCCTATGATGTTCATCCTATTGAAAATGGGCTGCGTTCTCCAATATTTTTTTTTTTTTTTTTTTTGTTTGGTTAACTACAGCAATTGTCCCAATTCAATTGGTATCATGAACAATCTTGATTCCATTTTTCTGGGTTTCTTATTCTATAAGATTTTGGAATTTCTCCATATGCAGATTTTCACTAAGGTTTGTTTCAAAAGCTTTCCAACGGTTTTCTTTTATGAATTCTATTAAAGTTGGAATTCCAGCTTATATCGCTGTGTGCTACAAAATTATTATTTAAAATGAATGAAGTGTGCTAGTTATTCTAACATCAGAAGCAACTTCTTTTTATTTTTTCTTAAAGTTACTAGTTAAAATGTAGAATGTGGCATTTTGTGTGTTTTCATCGTGCATTTCATTCTGGATTGCATTAGTTGCTCTAAACTCTTAATCATCCTACAGCAAATGGTCTTCTATCTTATTAGCAATCAGTTGCTACACGAAATTTACTTTCCACTTAAGATGTGGTTCTTCCTTGGACTCTTCTTTTGGCAAGCTAGGCCCCATAGTGTTTTTATTTTAGGGGCATGTGTGAGGTGATTGATAGGATTCTTCTGTCGTTATTCTAAATTGATTTTTTTCCTTGTAAGAAAGAAAGGAAAATAGTAAGATTCTTGTTTGGATTTTGGAATTGCCATTCCACACGTATCATTGTGGAAAAGCTAAGTGCAAATTTGAGAAAAACAAAGAGTGGAAAAAGACTAGGAAATAAATGATTTTTTTTTTCCTCTAAAGATCAGAAAGCGTAAAGGTAAAGCAATACTGAAGTTAATGGCAGTGCTATTGATATTCTGAGCTTTCTTTGTGGCATTTTATGCTTTAAACGCAACTTCTGCAATTTTTCCCCTGACGTATAGGCTCTATGTTGGTTTGATTGAATTGAAGGGAATGTTAATGTATTTTAATAAATATGAAGTATCAATGTATCATAGCTTCCAATCTAACAAAGGGGTCAAGTTTTGCTCAGTAATAGAAGCTCAACTATACAAAATTTGTAACATTGTACGATAATTACTTTTTTCTACCAACTGTTTCTAATGTGATTATGACGTTTTCTCTATTCTCAGAAAGGAAACTTGAGGCTCTTTCTTTCAAACTTGGCTTGGGGGCAGCTCTAATCTTCTTCCTGGCAAAAAGTGCTACTGAATTTATTAAAATGACTGAACTAAGATCTGAGATGGAAATATTGCTAAAGTATGTCAAGGGTGAAATTCAAAGAAACGCTGTTGCTTCTATGTTAGCTGAATCGAAGCTTGACACCTTACCAACTTCAAATTACTGGGAGATTCTAAGTTCAAACAAACCTCTGTGGTTGCTTGATGAAACTGAATCATGTAATACATTGTCTAACTTGCACATATATTTGGATGATAGAATGTGCCTAAAGGGCAATGAAATGGAGCAAGAGCTCCAAGTTGAACTAAAAAGCTTGCAGCTTAACTTAGAAGGCCAGGATTTATCTGTGCATCCATATCAACGAAGGAAGGAGGTCAGCACTTCTTATCTTTGATCTCAATGGTTTTGCAAATCGCTTCTACTCTAATCTATGTTCTTCGTGCCATATGTTGATTAGATGCCATAGATTTATGTTGTAATAACCTCTTGATTGAGTGGTATTGCACTTCATCTCTAAAGTGATCCAAAGTTCAAATATTGAAAAAAAAAATGATTTGGTTAATTCATCCTTTAATACTTGGTTTTTGTTTGAAAACTTTGAGTTTATTCTTCATGGAGGATAATATTTTTCCATTTTGAAAATTCTTGCTAATAATATTTGATTGTCAGGATTGTTCAGTGTTTAATCTTCCAAGTTTTACAGCTTTTCTTGTTAATTGTTCCTAAACCAAGTTGTTGAGTATTCTACTGATTCCATGGCTTACTATTCTACTTGCTCCACAGATTCATGGTTTTGCATGAAAGGAATTAAAGAAATAGTTGCGATACCTACGTTTTTTAGTGTCAGATTGTTTCCTATATCTTTACATAATATTATTTACGAATATATAAAGAAATATTCTTCACATTTTAAGATATAAAATAGCAACAAGCAAGCTTCATGAAGACAAGAAATCCCAACAAATACACAATCAAAAGCACATATAGAAGTTACATGGCTCGGTTAGGCGAGCCTACATCCATAATCATACTTTAGATCAAATAATCAACAAATCTTT